TATATATATATATATATATATATATATATATATGTGTGTGTGTGTGTGTGTGTGTGTGTGTGTTGTGTGTGTGTGTGTATGTATGTGTGTGTGTGTAGGAGATATAGAGAGAGCGCAGAAAGTTATAAACTGTATAGAAAGACGTAAAGAAAATAAATTACTAAAAAAGAAAACGAAAACCAATGAAAGAAAGAATAAAATAGAATTGAACCACAGAGAAAGAGAGGAGAACATGTAATAACCAAATAGAAATTAAAATGGAGGAAGAAAGAAAGAATGGGAGAAAGTAAGAGAAAGAGAAATAACATGTCAAAAGAAAAAGAGACGGAAAGTATAAAAGAAAAAAGACAAATGGCTAAAAACAATGCAAGTAAAAAAAAAATCAACGATAAAATATATATATATATATATATATATATATATATATATATATATATATATATATATCAAATGAGAAATAAAAGGGATAAAAGACAAAGAATGTCAAAGATCAAAGACAACGATATACTTATACTTCAAAGGAATATAAAATGTAATAAGGTGACAAAATAAACAAAAGTATTAAGCAATATGGTAAAGAGTACAGTCAAAAGGATACCGAAGGAGAAATAAGTATTTACACTATTTATATTGTTTGGACTCTTGTTCTCTGTTTCCATATTCACGACATTTCGGCCGTTGTACGCCTCGGCCGTAGTACGTTTCGGTCGTTGTACGATCCGGCCTACTTCAGGATTGTCAAACGGCCGAAAAGACGTGAATATGGCAACATACATGAAGACAATAATCCGACCAATTAAATGTTGTAAATAATTACAACACTTCATCTCAGAAATATAGACAGAGAAATAAATGAAAGATGTCAAGCCTCAGTAGGAGAATGAACGAAAAATGAAAAAAGTGTGTCGAACAGAATAGAAAGAAAATCAAAGTAAAAATACAGTAAAGAAAGAATGAAAGAGGAAGCTGAAGACGAAACTATAGAGAATTGGATAGTAAATGAGTGAAAAGAGAGAGTGTTAGAAACTAAAGTGAAAAGAACATGAAGTAGAATATATTTTTATTCGCTTAATATGTTTTTACGGTTTATCAAATTTTACAAGTTATTTACAGCTAAAATATACTTTTAGATTTGTTGTGGTAGGATCCACCTAATTTGCATAGTGGAGTACCGACCATATAAATATGGTTGGTACCAGGAAGAGAGGGGGGAATCAAGAGATTCAACCAGAGACTCTGCCCGACTGCGACTCAGTCAACACATTCTCCAGGAACGGTCTTACCAGGAATATACAAAAGACTATATGTAAATATTGTGTACACTTTCTTGTTTCAATACATTTTGTTCTAAGTACATTTTGTGTTGCATTATTATTCCATGCATTAGTCAAGTTTCAACAAGATTATAAGAAGATATGAGGGATAATAATGATTTACTGATACAAGTTCTGCTAATTAACACATATCTGTGGTACTAGAGAGGGGTCTATCCTTTCCCAAGTGTATTTACGCGAAATTGAATATAACAACCTCGGCTGGCAATGCAATTCATCACTTTGATTTCAAATTATATGCCGTTATTCATTACACTACACACACGTGCAATCTTACAACCCCTGCTACGCACAAGCGGGCATTCATCTATCTCCCGTCCAGGTGTGACGTTGCTTAACTTCGGTGATTGCACGAGAACCGGTGCTTCAGCGTGATCAGGCCATAGGCCAAACAAGATATAGCAGAGAAGAAAAAAAAATAAGCATAATAACGAAAGAAATACCAACAAACATGTACGCATGAAATACATTTAACATATTGAATAGAAAAAGGAATGAACAGACGACTATAAAATATAGAAATTAACCGAAATTATTGCATAAATAATTTAATAACATAAACATTTGTTTAAAGTGTTGTTAGTAAATGTAATCTGAAATTATTTCGACATTGGTAACTGATAGATGTGCTGGGTTTTTTTTTCGATTTTTTTTTCGTTTTTTTTTTAAATATGACAAAAAATAAATACTCGTATAAAATTAACCATTGGAAACAGATCAAAGACATACAGAAGAAAACGGCCATATATTTACAGGTTTGTTTACTTATATCTATTTATTATAATGACGTCATCCTATTTGTTATAATGACGTCAACCGTTTAATTTTTTCGTGTTTGTACTAATAGTTGGCGGAGCAAGTCAGTAATGGCTGCCCCAGTAACTGCTACGCAGTAACTACTTATTTATTACGTTACTTACCTGGCACAGGGCTCGTCCCTGGGCTGGTAAGTACACTGCTATGACTAGCTTAGACCAGCTCTGACCAGCTTGGACAAGCTATGACCAGCTAAGACCAGGTTTAGACCAGCGGCCCGAGTGGAAACATTCAGGTTCCCCACTTTAAAAACTGACCTTGTGTCACATCCTGACTTAGTGGGGGGTCGAGTAATTATCTACTTATTTATGACGTTGCATACTGAGAAAGACAATATTCGGAAAATGCTATTGAACTTCCAACGTCATTATCTTTTCAGTTGGAACTTTCAATGTACGTAGTTTGACCTGGAGCGAGAAACAAGAGCAGATACCGATAGACATAGAAAAGTACAAAGAGGATGTGTGTTGCTTCCAAGAGACAAAATTTGGACCTGGTCTGAACAGTAACATCGGCACCAGCTGATATGATTAAAGACAGAATGAAAACATGATGGAAACGGATTTGTTGTCAACAGTAAATGGAGGAATAATGTACATCGGCGTTGGAAAATATATCAGATGGCGCGTCTGTAATACAGCTCACTGTACAAGAAAAACATAGGAATGTCTTCAAACGGAATGGATCCAGAAAGACAGCTAAGAAAGCCATGGAGATTTACTTTGATGAGAAGCAGGTGAATGTTATGACATAGGCAACCTAATCTCCTGACCTCAACCCCACAGAAACTTTATGGAGCGTTATAAATTACAGGCTCTCGAGAAAGCAGTTGAGCAACATGTTCCATCAGTTTTGTATGTGGTTGAGGTTAGGAGATTGGGGTGCCGATGTCATAACACTCTCCTCAAAGTATCCCTTCATCAATTTTGATTTGTGACAGGGAACATTATCCTTCATAAAAATGAGCTTGTTGGGGTCGATTTGCAACCTTTCAGCAGAAGGGCGCAGACAAGACTCTAAAATTATCTTGTACTGCTCGCTCCTGAGGGTCTTTTCAATAGGTTTTAAGAAACCAGTTCCTTGAAAAATGAAAGCATACCCAGAACATTAGACTGAACGGATGCTTGACAGTAATTAATGCTAATTTCAAAAGTGCTTTCAAAGATTCTTCTTCAGATTATAGATCGCTTATCCTTTAAATTTATATCAACATTCGTTTCATCGGAGAAGAGAACATTTAGGAAAAAAGTCAAGTGAGTCACTTTTTATCCAACAGCACTATAATATATATATATATATATATATATATATATATATATATATATATATATATATATATATAAAACAAGCTCTACGTAATTAATCTTATCTTTTAAGAAGGATATGATGGTTGTGTAAAATGATACCTGCTTGGAATAAAAAAATCCTGTGAAGTCCGCTATAATCACTTACGATCAAATACCCCTTTTGAAAGTTAGGCAACCATCTCTTTCATCGGTTACATATCAGGAAGGACGTCAGAATCCATTCGAAAAGAAGGAAGGTGCGATGAAAGTATTCAGAAAATTAACCACGCGGATGTTTTTTGTACGTGAAGTGGCTGTTTTGCCAAGTTCTCTGTATGGAACTTTCTTATTGACTTTGGTAACACGGCTCGAATGAGTGTGATTCAGCCCCATGGAAATAGCATGGATTTTTCTCGCTGCAAAATCTGAACGAGCGGTAAGAAAAAAAATAAAATGTCATTTAAACATTTGCCATGACAAGAACGGTAGAGTAACGACAGCATACCAACTTTGTGTCTATCGCGAAAAGGATGAAGAGTACGAATTTCAACCTGCCCAACGATATCTACCACGGCTTTAAAGTGAGGCTTCAGCAGTTTCATTGATATTTTTATACAGATTTTCATTAAAGACGAATATCTGTTACTCTATTTAGGTCCATCAAGCAAACAACATTATCTGCATTCAATTTACACACTGTCCTGAATGTTTCGGTTGATTTGCAATGTAACACCCGCTCTCAGTTCACATTAAAAATTCCAAAATATTTACATTTATGTCTAATTCTACATGCACCATTCAAATCTTGTTTGATAAATTTGATAAAATCTATCCTTTTAGAGTTATCGACAGTGAAATTTAGGATTCATGCGCGTCGCGGGCAGACATTGCTGTAGTTGTTTGTATACCTTCGCAGCAGAATAGCTATCATTGCCCAAACTGAGCGTATGTACGTAAATAGTTCTCGTGCGCAGTAATTGAGACAAATTTAGATAAATTAGACAAATTTAGACAAGAAACATCAGTTCCGAGCTTAGCTTTCCGCGTTTAGCATTCCGCAGCAAATGTATTCAAACAACGCTAGTAATGGCAGCCGCCAACGACGAGATTAAATCCCAAATAAACCAATGTTTCTTCCGTGGATCATCATAGTCACTTTTTTCTTGTGGCGATAAGAAAAATGTTCAAGTGACTGATCCAGTACCTAGAGAATAGTTAAATAAATAGTGCAAAATATTACTTTTTTGCAGATCAATAATCTGTAAGAACTGGAATAACGATGATTAAGAAGTCGTTGATTGTTTGTTTTTGTTCAGCGGTATATGAGCCACTCTGTGTTATTTAATTCCGAAATTTAAACATTTATTTATTTACTTAATTTATTTTGGAAATATTAAAATTTTAGCGATACACGTTTAACCAGTTGTCCCAAATCTGTGAGGAGTAGAGGTAGATTCATGCATTTCCTGAGGTTATTTGAATGGTGGAGTTTGAACATTGCACCATGATTAACGATTTCGAGGCCTTATCCGTTGCTCTACCGCAAATCCAAACTTACAGAAAGTGGCATTTCCAAGCGGCCACCCATCTAAGTACTGATCAAAAACAACGTTGCTTATCTTCGGTGATCGTACGCGAACCGGTGTCTCAACATGATGTAGCCATAAGACAAAGAACTTGTTCTTTACGTTAGTAAAATTTCCCTTTGACGGATCCGAACTATTTTCAAAATTTAAAAATTATTTAGAAAGGGAAGAACTCTACGAGTGGTTTTTGGAGGAGGTAGTGAAGAGGATTTTCTATTCACACAGCTTTTCTACAATAATGGCTACAATGTTCAATAAACACAAGTCTGAATGTTTTCCCTGAAACAAACTAGTGTACAATCTCCAACTAAAATATCAATTGCTGTCTGTCCTCTTTATCTGCATAAACTTCAATTCCATCTAAAAGCTCTTAAGTTCATATCTCATACATCTTTCTGTGACCTTCACTCATCAGTGGCTTTTGAGAAACTTGTATTTTATCTTCAGTATAAAAAACATCAATCTATTCTGAAGGGTTAAATGAACGATATAACGGATGTGACAGTTGTGAATTTTTTCATCGATTTAGGTCACTTCCTTAGAGATATAATAAATACGCCTTGCACTTGACTTATCACAATTCTTAGCTCCTTTTCTTTGTCTTTGATGACAACTGTAGAATTATCATTGCTGTCATTTCGTTGAATTGTTGTCTTCGTAATGTTGATCTTCGCGTGAAGATTCTAATCTTACGAGGCATATAGATGTATATTATTTCAGATATCAACGCGAGTATGACTAAAGAATACTGTATATCATGGCTTTCCCTGATTCTTTTCTATTTACAATCATATTTTTTTAGTGTTAAAAGATAGATGATGTCTGCCGAAAACAGGTATGAATAATTATAAGTTATCCTAGATTTCCCAGCATTAATTATTTATTCTTTTTTTATTAAATTATTCTTTCGTTAGACTTAATGCTGATACTCAACTTGTTATTTCTCTCTCTCTCGCCGAACGGTCTTATTTTCCCAACCTTGATAGAGTCCTTCAGCGTCTCCGAGCCCTTGTTGCCTACGAATTATTCTCCAACCTCCAACCACTCTCTATCTCTCTCTCACAGGTGGGATGAGGCAAACAATACCTCCACGGAAATTTCTCTTACGAACTATATTCTCTGTCCTATGCCAATGCAAATCTTATCGACAGGGAGACGCCATTTAACTTGCACAGTAGCAAATCGCCCATATTTTACCGGCAGCCCAACGGTGAAAAGTAAGTTCCACTCCAACATTTTTTTACGCAAAACACTTCTGTGGGTAACGAATTCCAGTCGAATCCATTACATTCCTTAGGTGCTAATAACCTTTGGAAAGGTATGAATCCTCTTCTTCTCGCCACCAACTGTGGGTAATTAGCAGGACAAACAGGGTTCTATAGTCTTGTTTTGAAAATGGGCTACCGCAGAAAGAAATGGCTACCTACTACAGGAAATGATCTGGCTGGTCATTCATGTATCGAAAGTGTGTTCGCCTAAGTGTGTATCACGAACGGCACATTACTGACTGACAGTGAAAGAGGACGTTTCTCCGATGAGTACTATCTGAACCTGTCCAAGGCTAGGGTTAACCGTTATCGTCCCATCTTCTCCGTATAAACTGCTTCCTAAGGTAACCTGATCCCTCGGGTGCAGCTCCGAGCTTCTAAAGGCTGAACGTTACTGTAAGAAATAGTTAACTTTAATGATAATATGTTCGTAAAGTGAACAAGATAAATAACTCTTGAAAATCTTTGTTATACATTTGTTTATATGATTTGCTTTTTTTTTGTTCGCCTGCACATCATTGGTTTTATATTGACAATTTTTTAGTCGTTGCATCAAAACGAAATTTGATATGTATTTTTCTCCTTACTTGCTAATCTACTGGGAATTTCGAACCGAATACATTATTATACAAGATGTTTCAGCTATGACAGTACAAGGGGCAGCAAAAAAAAAACCCACACTTGAAAATGAAATCGTACGTGAAAACTATGAGTCACCTTGTAACTTACTCCAGGACAGAAAGTTAAAAGGTTAAAGACATTTGGAAAATAATCCTGAAAAATATATATATATATATATATATATAACGTCATCCACAGACAGACTGTTTCGCTGTTTACAGCTCATCAGTGTGGCTAGACTTCCGGTTGCCTCTAGCTAGGATCGAAACCCGACTGAATTGGTGTCAGTCGGCACTTTCTGTATCTTATATATATATATATATATATATATATATATATATATATATATATATATATATATATATATATATATATATATATATATATATATATATATATATATATATATATATATATATATATATATAATATCCATGGTAAATATATATATATATGTAAAATATATTATATATATATATATATATATATATATATATATATATATATATATATATATATATATATATATATATATATATATATCATTAAAAGTTATATATGTAATGTAGAAAAAATAGAAAAGAACACGTTAGGTAAATAATCCAGAGTTCTTTAGTATTTTTGTTTTTATTTAAAAAAAAAACAGTGCTCTATCCAGAAGTAGAGATTCCTTCTTTACATAACAGTTTTCATGTTTCAAAAACGATAGTAAAAAGAAAGAACAGTAAGATACGGTGTTCTTATTGATATTTTTATTTTTACAAAACAGTGCTCAATGTAAATTTCCAGTGCATAAATATTATAAATTAACTGGTTTAAAGATATAGTTTCTTCGCTACGCAGGAATTACCAGGTTACAAATCCGAATAGAAAATATTCAAATTTAATTATATAATTAAATTAAAAGCATTATTTCTGTTTCATCTTCAAGCGAATTTCTGAATAACTTATTTTTTTAAATTTACTGAGTTTTAAACCCACATACAAATCATAATAATGTTTCCAAACATACAGAGAAATCCAATGATTTAGACAGTGACGGTAGCGTGATGATTTTTATTAACTATTATTGTATCAATTATGAGTTACATTCGAAAAAGAGGTTAAGTTCAGGTAGGTTAGAGGTGCATTTTTCACTGAATTATGACATACGTACAACACATATCGTTTGGTTTTCTTTTTTTTTATCAACGAGAAAAAGTTTCTCGGCATTTTTTCCCGTTAAATTCGTATTTGTATACATAAAGATTCTTTCTAAAAGGGGTGTATGGGTTACAATACTTTATATTGAACTACAATTTTAAAATTTTATTTTTACACTTAATTACTAATGACTATATCTATTTTTTTAAAAATAAATAAAATAGAATTATTTAATTTATTTTAAAATTATTATTCCATATAAGATATAAGTATGCATATTACCCGCTCCATTTAATGACTTGCATATTCTAGCTTTTCTTAGTAATTTCCTTTTTACTGTTTGTTTTTAATTTTTTTTTCCTTTCAGTGCCAAAAAATATTTCGATAGGGATGTCTGATTTTGGTATTTATTTTCCTAAATGAACTTTGATGTTGATCGAATGTTTTTTGAACTCCTGGCTTGTACAACCTATATAGATTTTTTTATGTTTTCGGAATTCTCAATAGATGAGATAGATATTGCATTGGTATTGTACTACTGCTTTTAGTTTAATTATATAACTAAATTTCATGTCTCTATCTTCGGTTTTGGAAAAATAGTAATTCCTTTGTAGAGAGTGAACCATATTTTCAAACCAGTAATATATATATATATATATATATATATATATATATATATATATATAATATTAGTGGAAAATATACATACATATGCAAAATTATAAATACCCATACATATATATTTTTAGAATAAAAATTCCAAGAGGAATAATCCAGGTAGAACTCAATGTCTAGGACAGAGTAAGGATATAAGGATATGTGAATATATTTTTATATGTGTGTACATGGGTATATGTATGTGTGTATGTGAGTACACGCCTATGTGTATGAATATACATGTATATGTTATTGTGTGTATTCGCATGTGTTTTTGAACATAGAAATATATGTCCTTGCTGGATTAGATAATCGTTATATTTATCTTTATATATTTATATTTGATTTGTAACCTGTAGTCGATATTAAATTTGTCAAATTTTCTCAATTACAAAGCGGCCCTTTAAGTAAACGCAATTTTACTTTCCTTCGTCTCATCTCTCTCCCCCACATCGTCTTTGCCTCCCTCTTATTCTAACATTAGATTGTCTATGGTGTGTATGTCACCAAGAAATGTATCTTTATGCATTAGACGTCCGACAACATTCATTTTTCTCTTACTTAAACCCCTTCCACCCATCTCTCCTAAAATTCTCTCTGTTAAGGTTTAATCTTCCTCCTCCTCATACTTACACTCTCTCTAAATTCTGTCTTTATTTCCGGGTTGTTTTTGTGTTTTGTGTTTTTTGAATTTGTAGGTCTGATGAATTGGATCGTATTTACGATTCCAATGGAATAAATTTGACCATGGAATATTAGTGTTTAAACCTTTTTTTATATATATATATATATATATATATATATATATATATATATATATATATATATATATATTTATAAAGCTTTAAATGTTGTATATATTCTCTAGTTAGTATCAAGATAATTTTTATGGCTCTGTGTGAAATAAGGTGCATAATATACATTAAAAGATTAAATACTAACTGCGATATATCGCTTCAAAAAATTATTTACAATGACACTAAATTAAATACAAAAAGTTTATATTTTCGCAACGTTTCGCAATAAGTACAATATGAAATTCGGTAGAGTGATACACACAGGTCCTTCTAGTAGTGAGTGCCACTAATTGGAAGGTTGGACGCGCTTGCGAAGTCTCGATCACACTCCCTCTGAGTCTCTCGTAGACGATTGACATTATAGGTACTTACTACCTATAATGTCATCATTCATGGGGTTGAATGGTTATTTCATTTATGGCACCTTGCATTTATTGGAAATATTCATAGAAATATGAGTTAATTTTTTCTTATTCAGTTTATTAAACAGGTTGTTAATTTTTTTTTCTTTAAAACGGAAAATAACTGGGTTGAAAATAATTCACTAAGAATGTACTAAACGATCCTAAAGCAAGGAAAAAGAAAGAAAGG